GAAAGCGCTGCAGTGACCCCGATGAAGAGGGAAAACAACTCTGCCTTTGTGCTTCTACTATGTCCAATGAGCTCTGATGTCACTGGAGCTGATGACACGTGGAAGCTGCCTGCAAGTCAATGATCATGACTACACAAAAAGCAGAAGTAAGGTGATTTATTATTGGTCATAACGTGTGTGTGTGTGTTTGTGTTTGTGTGTGTGCGTGCATGTGATCAACATCATTCATGTTTTTGAATATCTTGGTCCCTTTCAGACTCCTATATAAGAAAATAATTAGACCATAGTTGGTACATACTAACAAGGATGAAAAACTAGCTCTAAACTCGCTCATGACTATTTCCTGCTTTCCCCTGCTCCTCTTTCTACTCCTCAACAGCCGTTGAGCTGCCGCTATGCTGCCACAGACACAGAAATTAGAGGAGAGACCCAGCTGGGGCCCAGTTATAAAGCCACCTGCTCCATTCTCTTAGTAATAACACAAATAATACATAACAGAAAGTCAGCAGGAGTTACACAGTTCAATCAGACAAATATAGTTATGATACTGATGCAAATTTGAAACTGGCTATGCTTAATGTCAAATCTTGTTTGTGTGTTCATGGCTTGACCAAATAAAAATAAGTCTTAAAAGAAGCAACACCACCAAATTTCCAATTTGAATCGGAAACAAAATGTTCCAATACGATTGTCCAGTACAAGTTATGTCACAGTTTTCTTGATCATTCACTGAGTTACTTTCAGTTGTGTGGATATACTTTGATGGTTTAGTCTTTTCAAGTGGTTTTAATGTGTGGATAAAGTTAATGACAGAAATGCCAAAGAGTTGGGTTCTGTACCTGTAACCTTTGGTCTTACTTGCCACACCCACAACACAAATAGAGGGTCACTATTTCAAATGTACATGTGGTCTATGTCTGTTTATCTTTTGACATTCGTTAACTTTGGGAAGTCCAGGACTAAACACGTGAAGGCAGAATCTGTGGTCATTTCAGTTGCTCCTTCCTCCACAGATTTTAACTCCTGGCTCATTGGAATGTTGTGATGTCACATGAACATGAGTGTTGCAAATAACCATTCAGCACTACTTCTTATCTTGGTAAGAAAACACACAAATCATTTGTTTGATCAGCATTTAATTTGGACCCATTAAACTTAAAATGCAACTTCACTTGAATCAGCATTGGCATAAAAAGAACATTGTAATAAATTCAGAGCATCAAATGTGCATGTTTAAAACTATCTATAAAAAGCATTTACCTATAATCCACCTCATTCATTCACAACACTGCACAGCAATAGTGCAAAACACAAACAAAAGCATTTTTATCACAAATCAACATTAGAAGTTTAGGTGCATGTCAAACGATGAGGACGGGCTCAGTCAGAAGATGACTTTGATTTAGTTATGATGTGGTTCTACGCTTAGATACTGCTGGACCGTTGTGATTGAAATTATAATCCAGTATTTAAATGCAAGGTATTGATGCGCTTTTTAGAGTGTGTGTGTTGTCATTTCATGTTTTAGAATATGAAACAATACCTTAAGTACAAATTATATGGCAAAACTAATATCGAGGGTAGGAAAAGCTATCCTGCCTGTAATTCCATAAGCTACCACAAGAGGAGAGACTGTTTCCCCCCCTTTCCCAAATTCAAAAATTACCGTAAAAAAAGACTTTACCGTTAAACCTGAAAAGTCACGTTACTAATTTTTAGCAATGATTTTGTTTGAACCGTTTTGAGTGTGGTGTCAAAGTGGTACAATGACATCATGCTATTAGGTTTAGACAGGAGCTTTGAGACAGAATGAGCTGTTTGTGCCAGAATGTTCTGATTTTTTCTGATGTTAGCGTTGGTGGATCAAAAAACAACTCCTGTCATGTTTTTGACAAAGAAACAATGTTGTGACATGAAAGCTAGAGAAAAGGGTGAGTAACGTAGTTTGGCACAATTGACAGAAATGCATTATAATACCTCATCAAAATGAAATGATACCCCTATCTTTTACCATGTTGGACTCTCCCAACAGAAACGGTACATTATGTGCCGATGAGATGTTAGTTGTATTATTTAGTGAAAGGCACTGGACCTATTAAAAGTTTGTGGTTAGTTTTTCACATCTGAATGAAAGACACATAGGATAGACATGTCTCCATCCTCCATGCACTTCCCATGCTTTTTCTTGTTAAAGTTAATATGGCGTGGTATAAAGTACAAGTACAAAAAAACATGCAAAAGTCATGATTTTAACGTTCAACTTTTTTTTTTTTTTTTTTACATTTCTCTCTTTTTTCATTCTCTTGTACAAAAATAAATACAACTGTAAAACAAAACTTCACGTACATACTCAACAATCACAAAAGTAGGCTCAGTTCTACCAGTTTTACCATAGCAAAAGACAGCAACAGAATAAATAATAACTATTAACCTCAATATAACATGAAAAAGTATTCACAGTTACTGGAATATCACGTTGTCAAGTCTTTTTATGCCAGCAAGTGTACAGCAAAGGGACAGTGCAGGAGTTTGAATGGGGCCACTGTTCTCTTGGCTTGGCACTTGGCAGATAAGACCGGGCTATTGGCTGTCCCAGTTATCATCAAGACAGGGCTGCACAATATTTCTCTCAAAAATGTGTTTCTGTTGCCCTTATACAAATCATTAAGCCATATGACAAAAGGCTGGGGCATTTTGTCATAATGTAGTTTGGTCCCATGCAGGCTTTTCACAATGGGGAAGACGGAAACGTGTCAAAATGAAAGGGTCAAAATAAATGGTTTTCGAAAGTTACAGCCCAGTGCTTTATCAAAGACATTTTCTCAAGGACAACTTTAAAAAGGAAAGAGAAACATGTGCAACAATTCAAATTCTATTTTTGTTACATTGTCGATATGCAATGTATTGTCCCTTTTGTGACTTGTGTGTAATTGAAAAAACATGCTGACTCACATGTAAGCAGCAGGTTTTATTACTGTCTAACTTCCTGCTATAGTGATCGGCGTGTTAACACTGAACATGGAAAAAAGACTAGGTCCTATAATAATTGCTGATGCGTTCTGAAACACACTGATTTACTCCTGATTTTAATTCCTGTGTTTTTTGCGTAATGGGAATGAAGCTATGCTCACATCAGAGGCCTTGGCCCATTGCAGGTAAAGTTAGCAATGCGCAGAGTTTTTTTTGCTGTCATAATCCACGTAACAAAGTAAAAACTGTAAGCTTGTCCTGGCAGCAGTAGACAGAGAATGAATATATTAATTAGTCCTACAGCAGGGTTAAGCCTAGAGCAGAGCAAGACAACGAAGGAGTAAGAGAAATGAATGACTCAAACATGTATCAATTGCTCTGAAAACAACTTTAACACGGACAAACAACCATAACATGGACAAAATGTCTGGTGACCGCCTCTTCAACTCGCTTAAATTAAATAAACCTTTTCATTTCACAAACAAAGATAAATAATTTCCTGACGTGTTTCTCAAAAAAAGTTCCAAACAGTGGGCTTCAACCCAAAATCAAGAAATACGAAGCGTGTCACACTAAATTCCCTCAATAAAGCATAAAAAGTGGTAGAAGTCTGAAAGAACGAAACCATTAAATAATTAGGATTAACACATGACAAAGCAAAAAAACGAGTTATGTAAACACATCTCCAACATTGTGAAATCCTGGAAACAAAAAAACAAATAATATTTTGGAATGATGGGGTTTGAGTCGTACATTACTGTGCAAAGTAAAAAATGATCTTATCTTATCTTAAAAGTCCAGAAATGTCCACTACATTGCAGACCATAGATTGATCCACCAATTCATCTTCCAACAGTGGATGTAGTGGGACATATAAACATTATTGGTATTGGCTTCTACAAACAGAAGCTCCTGCTGCAAAGAACAACTTATTTGTTAAATGGCTTTTTCCATTTAACAATTAAATCCTTTATTCTGTGGGATGAATGAAGCCTCTCTTAATCGTAGTTACATCGCTACCTTGCCAAGGACTTTAGCACAGAGCTGTACAGTTTCTTCTGTATTCACAAAAAGTTTTGGGAAGTAAACGGACTCATCGACGCACATTGACGTTCCCTTTTTCATCAAACGGCAAAATATTGACTTTGTGATACATTCGAAGAGTCATACAATTTAAGTCTTGCGATGGCTCCTTCCTTCTTTGTTGGCGCAGTTATATCAGCGTGGCACTGCAGAAAATGCCCAAGTTTTCTTTCACACTTTTTCCGCTGCTTCCATCTTGCCAAAAAAAGCACTACGAAAAAAGGCCTTAATCGCTGCAGTTAAAATGACTCTGATTCAAAGTATTCATCCGATTGAACAGTATTTTTTTGATGCTATTATGAAGGATACTTTAATGTGATTGTTGTTTGGCTTTGTTCCACAGTAAGGCATTAAACATCTCATGGAGGATGGAAGGAATTGGTTTACCAAATTTCAAAGCTAGAAAACCAGGCAAAGAATAATGTCAAATTATGTATAAGTCATGTTTGCATTAGTGAAGTGTGTTTTGACTAAATAGAACGGTCAGAATTCAGAGTTTATTTCATTTTAACTTCAGTCAAGTTCTAGTAAGCTTGTACATGGATTGTCTTCTTTCTCCTACTCGGGCCATGGATACACTCTGCCTTTGCCAGTGCATTCGCAATCTCCTTCTCTTTCTGTTTTCAACAATAGCCTGTTAGCGTTGGTCCTGGTCACGCTGCTCCTTTAGTGAGATACAGTGATCAGTATACAAAAGCAACCCCAACTGTTCCAACATCAGATGTTTGCACCATTTTTGACCCCAATCTCCCATGAACAAAGACACATTCATGCATTTTTAGTCTAATGGGGATATTGCCAGCCTTCGGGAATGTCTTTTGTACATCTTCCCCTAATTGTTGCACTGTCAACAAACAGGAAAGAATCTATACCCACACCAACATGGCAGGTTTTCTTGAGTTTGATCAATCGGTAGACAAAAATCTACTTGCAGTTCTTTCTGCGGCTTATGACAAGGGACAGTGTCCGACCCGCATACGAAGTGTGCCGCTTTTGTGAAGCTGCCAGAGCTGCATAAACTCTTCGGGCATGGCGTGAAACCACTTATCAGGCAGAATGTTGTCGTAGTAGTGATGGCTGATGGGCTGTCCGTCCAAACCCATGGAAAAGGGCCAAAAGCCATACGCAGTCACCTCTTCGCACAGCCCTAACGCCAAGCTGACCAGAAACAAGCCCGTGGACAATCTTTTGGCATGCACATTGCGAGATTTCCAGAATTTTCCAACCGTGCGGAGAAACTCGGGATTGGCAAAGAGCATGGTGAGTTCGGAAGAGGCGTCGGACAGGGCGTAGTGAGCCCGCAGAGACAGGTCCGTGCCGGGTTTCATGGAGAAGGCCGGCATGTAGATGTAGCTGGACCCGTACGCCTTCATGCTATCCACGAAGGCCTTCCGGGACCACAGCAAGTTCTGAAATCTAGACAAGAGAGAAGTGATCAAGAATGGGATAAGGTGGATGGAAAAAAAAAACGTATACTTCATTTCAAAGCTGTATGCACAGTGCCCGACTATAGTGCTCCGAGGAAGGATGTAAGTTGTTTGAATAAAATTAACAAAAACAGGTCCATACTAGGGCTTTATCAGCAATCACAATTTGGATTGCTACAATTAAGGGAACAAAATAAACATGGCACGCTTTTCCTGTAGGGAAATTTGTATAAGAGCCCTCTCCAGATGCAGATTTTCAGCCTGAGCTGGAGGATGTTATGGGTATGCCTGGGGTGTCCTGCTGTCATATGCTGAGTCCCACTGTGTTTTCTGGGTTTGGGTTCCCTGGGCTCAGGTTTGTCCGACCGAGTGACTTTCTTACTTTTTGTTCTTTTTCTGAAGTGTTTTTTTGTCTGGATGTATAGGGAAGTTTGCTCCAAGTATTCTTAGGCCGACATGGGATAAATCTGCAATAAAAAGGACTGCATTTCTTACGAATGTCCACAGAAATCCATAATCAAAACCATTCACTACATTCAAAGTTTTTTTCTGAGTCCACTTCCTTTAGCCTCTGTAGACGTTCTGCATAGGAGGAAAAACAAGACTTTTGAGAGACTGAAGCAGAGTTTACAATGGAGTGCCTGCTCTTTCTCTCTCAAAGGAAAAAAAAGCTTCCGGTGTGGTGACCAGTGATACATTTACAGCTATGGGGTTCATTTGAGGTTACCATAAGTGGGAAATAAGAGTACTTGAAAAACCATTAACTTTCAATACACATTCATGGCTACTACAAATGCATTTATCACTTATTTACTTTTAGTCCGGCCGTTTGAGGACTTATTCAAGATACAATGTGTGACATTTTTCACCATTCTGAAACCAATCTTGTGATTCTCAAATGTACAACTATTGTGAAGTCGTTAAGCTAGTGCTGCTAAAGTAGAACTGATTGTTTGATTGGCATCTTACTAAACCCCATGTCTACACTGCAGACATAATATAGAAATAATAAATAAATCAACATTTGCTTGAATAAGACAACATTCATCTTAATGTTATTACATTTCCACTGTTTTCTTTCTTTCGTGTTAGTATTATTTCATGAATAGTAGGAACTTTTCTAATTCTGTGACTAATTTAATTCATATTTTAGTCAATTTTTTTTATTAGACATGACATTATACCTTGTTCCATTGACAAATCATGTCAGTAAAATGGTTTATACACATTTTTAATTGAGCCCATTCATTTCTATAGTTTTAGTATAGAACAGTACACTGCAGTTGTTTTCTATTTAATTACTTCATTTCCAGTTTAGTGCACCATTATGTTGACTTTCTTACAATTGCTCACAGAGAAGCTCACTGCCTTTTTTTTCTAAACAAAGTAGCTCTCTTTGGGAAAAGGTCAGAGAGATTTTCTCCACAGTTTATTTTTGTGATGGTCAGATTGTTCTTATTTTTGCTGTCATGCAGTCATGAGTTCAGCTGTAGAGCAGTGAAACATTCACTTCTACGGTCATTGCTATGGTGCCATGTGTATTGTCAATCTCAATCTCATTGTATTGAATTGTGTATATTTGGAGCAATATATCGTGTTTCAAAAGGCAACATTGGGACAGGTGAAGTGAAGAGCTGCCCTGCGGTGATCTCACCTTTTCTCTATAATGCTGGGGTTGGCTGTGACTAGGTGTGTTCTGGTCCCCACGTCCTCTGTGTACTGCTTCGACACTGGAGGCAGGTTACATCTATAAAATATTGCAGCAACATGTTAAAAAGCACACTTTGGAACATTGTCTATTGAACTATACATATTTAATGCCAGATACTGTAGGTCCCGTACCAAAGTACACTTTGTGTTATTTTCCCCATACAAACAAAGGATTCACAGACTCGATGGTTTATGACAGCATCATTGCTGATGAAAATGAAGAGCGCCAAAACACTCATTGTTACTTTAACATACATTTTGCAAATGCAATATTTTGATGTAAAGACAGAAAAAAGTGCATAGGCAACGTCAACAAATGTGAACACAAACTTTTGTAAGAAAATTAAAAAAAATAAGATAAGAGAACCTACATGCGTCCCACAATGGAGACCTTCTGATGTTGCAGCGCAATATGAGTATCTGCTGTGCTTCTCAACTAGCTGCAAATGCTTCACAGGAGCAGCAAGTAAATGTCCATGTTTCATATCTATCACATATCCATAATTATTGAAAACATATGATAACATTTTAACATTAATCTTTGGTACAGGTACAATGACAATATCTAACTACTGCATTTTTGATTTACATGTTATGGGCAGTGTTGGGTACGTTACTTTGAAAAAGTAATTAGTTATAGTTACTAGTTACTTCTCCCAAAAAGTAACTGAGTTACTAACTGAGTTACTCCATTATAAAAGTAACTAGTTACCAGTAAAAGTAACTATATAGTAACTATACTATAAGTATACTATAGCTGGTTGTAGTTTAGGATAACTAAGTAGATTAATTGTTGCAACAACGCCACCCTATTTTAGTTTTAGTATTAGTATTATTTATTAGTATAGGGAACTGTCCTGCAAGACACAGAGGTAACAATAAGACAGGTCAAGGTGCCATTTAACTTACATTGCATTTATTTTTGTCCATTGATCAAACAAAACGCATTATAAAACTTGCAATTGAAAGAGACTATTTTAAAATAATTAGTTCCCACATACACACACGACCGCCGGTAACAAGGTAACTATTTAGGTAGTAACTGTAATATAATTAAACGTATTTTCATAATAACGCGTTACACTACTACGTTACTCAAATTGTAATGTCGTTACAGTAACCGTTACACCCAACACTGGTTATGGGACCTTTAAGGTTTAGATGGTATGGTGCTATTTGGCCTTCATACACATGCCCAATGTAGTGTTTTCATTGATTCCCTCAAGTTTTAGTCAGAGAGCGATCTTTCTTTTCATTCTCCAAAATGCACGGGCGGTACGAGCTGCAGAAGCCCGTTTCTGTGTATAAAATGCTTCTAAAATGATGTCGTCAAAACAGTGAAAAGAATACATGAAAAAAATATGCTCTTTGCTCGGGGAGAAATCAAAACAGCGAATATGCATTTGTCAGCAACTAAAAGTGTTAGCATCATGTCAACTTGGAGAAAATGTGTTTTTGGGTGTGAAGATGTGACGACACTATTTACGCCAAAGATGAAAAATGCAGCAAATGTGACAGGAATTTTTTTTAAAACAGCTATCAGCCTCTGAAATCCACGACTAATCTGTTCATCCGTGAGTTACACTTCACTAAAGACTGTTCCAGAACTACGGTTACCATAAAAGTGGACTTAATCAAAAGCTGATCCAGAAACCTCTGTTGTTCCCACGATAAAACACGCAAAACAGGGAGCATTGAGCTGTAAGTACAAAGAAACTCGCTGTATCACTGTTAACTAAAAAATTAGGGTCCAATTCTGGATTAGGGACAGATTGCCATTGCTGAAAAAAGTGTTAAATGCCATAATGGAAAAATATCATAACTATTCAATTGCTTTCACAGTAGAAGAGCAGTTATAATGACTATACAATAATACCCAAGACCTCTGTGCTACCATCCCTGGTTTAGTCTAGACCAGGGGTGCTCACACTTTTTCAGCATGCGAGCTACTTATAAAAGGATCAAGTCAAAATGATCTACCTACTACAAAAATGCAAATCATATATTTATTTCAAAAAATATTCTGTATACCTACAATGTATGTTTATGTACATGCAAAACTGCATGAGCCAATATAGCACAACACAACACAATTACCTATGTACATTTTTTGTCATTACCCGAGTTTACTCTGATGACTTGCACTGAATTGAATCGGCCAGGGAGGCATAGTCCGGAAAATTGGTGGTAACTCGCTGACAAGTTTGTCGTTGTTGAGCTTTCCTGCACTGAGCGCGGTTGTTTGCGCATGTGCAGTCACCTAAGTGTCAGTAAAACATTACTGAGTAAAACACAGATGTCATTTGACTGTGGTGCCATGTCCATGTGCCATGCCTATTTTTTTTAAATCCAAATATTTCCCCTCCTCAGTTTATAAAATAATTTGCATCCACACATCTGCGTTATCAATCACGTTCGTAACATTCCAAACATGTGCGTGTCTTACGTCCTGTCCTGCGTTGGGGAAAAACACAGAAGTGGGCGGAGCTTTGATGCAGACGCCGGTAACGGCACTTTTACAGTCATAGAAGACACTCAGAGTAAAGACGTATGTTTACAAGCACTGACCCCGTCCTCAGCCCTGGTTTAGTCCTGGTTTAGTCCTGGTTTGGTTGTTTTCGAGCGTGAGTCCCCGCGATCACTTTGCTGCTCTCTGATGTGGAGGATGTTCGCTGCTGCGAGCATCTCACAGCGGACAATTTTTAAGGTAGTATGATCCATGCTTCAGTGATCAGAGGAATTTAGGGGGGTACTGTGGCGTGCGAGAACGCAAAACTCCGGTTATCTCTGTCTACACACAAATGCATTAACGGAGTTTTCAAAAATCTCCACTTTGCCCGGAGTTTTTTGTATATATTTGTTTAGAATGTGTAATTTTTTCATTTATTTAATGCGATCTACCAATACTACCTTTGCGATCGACTGGTAGATCGCGATCGACGTATTGAGCACCCCTGGTCTAGACTCTTAATTATAAGTGGGAACAATATCTGTAAAAATCCAACTCCAAAGTGGTTCTAAATCTTGTTTGGAAAATATTAAGTAGGTTATAGGTTGTGTCTGGGGCTATGGACTAATTGTCTAAATGACCTACTGTTGATTTTAATTAAAATTCACTAGAACAAAGCAGATGCAACCAGAGTTTGAGTGAAAGGCTTCTATCCAGTATCACCGGTCATACTGAGGTCAGAGGAAACCACAGCAGGCACATTCATTACGCTTCATTGTCTCCGCAAAGACATGTGTGCAACAAGATTATAGCTCGCTTTGTGGTTTTTCAAGAGCCCACTCAGCCAAAAGCATAAACTTGCATGGATAACCTAATGTAGGGCAGTATAGTCTTCTACAAAAAGATCATATCTATTACAGGTATAAAGTCATGTTTTCGGCAGAGCAGTGAAAAGCGCGCTTTTTGGTGATAATGCTTTGGCTGCACACTCTAAGAAATCTCCATGGAAACAAGAGGTTGGCAAGAGAGAAAGAATGGCAGCTAGATTGATCATAATAATTTTATTTTATGTTTTGGATATTGCTTATAGTAAATTGCAAACACTCAGTAATTTAAAGGCACACCGTGTAACTCTTGGCCACTAGGGGCGCTAGACCTGCAACTTTCACGTTTAGCGCCCCTAGTGGCCACAAGCAACTCAGCACTGTCGCAAAAGTCAAACAGTCAGCCGGTGTCTTTTGAGTGTGTATTCAGACAGCATGCACTGGTGTGTGTGTTCAAACTGTAGAGACATGCCTACAGATATTGAGAGACTCTGCTGTGGTCAGCCTCCAGACCGCTGCATTAGTAATCTACCACACATGGACTTCTATATCCTGGATGAGGGAGTTCTGCGTCTAGCTCGTGCTGCGTGGAATGACATCGTTGCGGTCGATGACATCCAGGAACCAGGTGAACAGCAGCGCTCATACAGACATGCAGCTTACAGCACGATCCCTTTCGCGTTTCCTCTTTTTAGCCTCCTCCAAAGGTTTAAAATTTTTCCTTGCCTCAGCCATGACCAGGAGTCGAGCAGGTGAAAAATGAGTAGCAAAAGCCTTAGCTCCATGAGTATATCAGCGCCTGTAGCCGTAAAGCAAGTCTTTCTTCCAAGTCACGTGACCTGGTGGCAGACGGTCCGTCTGCTCGAAAGTTACATGGGCGGTATTTCAAGAGGGCAGCCCCGCTCGGAGCATTGCAAGTGTCAAGCGCTGTATATTGGCCCAAGTATTCATATAAAATAACTCATATGTGTCAACTCTTTAGGTCACAAAGTCCGCGGTGTGCCTTTAAATAATTTGCAAAAAAAAAAAAAATGTGGGCAAAAAAATTACAAAATGATTGATTTGAGTAATTAGGAGTCACTGCTCTCCAAATATATGCGTGTGGGCAGTTGTTGTCATCAGTAGAAGTGTCTCGTCCTTGTTGCTCCTTGTGCGATCGTCAATGACCGGGGCACAAGAGCTGCTTTCATTCTGACCTGCAACAATCTCATTCTGACGTCAGCGACTCCTCTGATTCTGACTTTGTTCTTTTACTTCTGTGAAGCCAGGAGAGCATAGTAGGCCAAGTGTCCATTGGATTTCAACCGAGGAGCTATGATTGCACGTTTCACACACTTCCAGAATATTCTTGTTTGTGAAAGAAAACCACTTTGAGTTGTTTACGGCGGCAAAAGGAACGCATGCGTCGTTCTCTTGTAAAACCTTTGGGTAATGTACTCTCTGCTGTTGGTGTATACTCGAGCAGCGCTAAGCTTGGGCGGGCCCTTGTGACGTCACATGACAAACGCAAGGATCATCGCAAGACCCTTGGGCTACCATCCGTGCACCCTCAGATTTTTCTAACTCCGCGGAGAAGGTGCACTGTGATTGGCCCGTGTGTGATAATTTTTGGATGGAAGCTGCAGAGAACATGGACGAGGCACTTCGGAGCAGATTGTGTCGTGTTTTCGAAGGAACTGAAGGAAATGTAGTTTGGGCTCATGGCTCACAAGCCTGATTTACGCGGAGGCTGTGGACTGGAATATTGAACATTTATATAAGGGACAGTAAATTGTTTTGCACTGTTCCTGTGTCTTTGCACTTGTAGCTTATTGTGTCTGTTGCATTCACGCTGTACTTTATAATAGTTCATGTTTGGTCTTAGATATGTATCACTTATTACTATGTTTCCAACAAGAGCTGTGTCTTTATTCACAGCATCACAGTTAAATGAGTTAAGAAACAATGAGTTTATAGAACTGTCACATAAACCTGCGCCTAGAAACACATTTAATGAGCTCAAACAGGTTGGTTTGCTGATGTTTTTGTTCTGAAGAGTAGAAAGTAGCAGTGCAATGGGACAGTTTTGGTGTCCCAGGCAACTCCTGTGAGATCGCCATCATGTGGTTGGGTGTGGGATTACAACCTGCTCTTCAAAACTACGCAGGGGGAACGCGCAAGTGTACAAGCAACTGTGGCTGCGCAGGTCCAGCGCAACCGCCAACGCAACCAGTAACGCCCAAGTATACACAGGCCTTCAGTGTCCGCTGCAGATGCTTAGAGTCCAGGCTTTTTCAACGGTATCTGAAATAAACCCCGCACTCTACACGTGCAGCAGCGCAAGCTTTTTCCGCTTTGAAAAACGTGTGCGGTGTGTCACGTACACCAAACGTCACAGAAAAAAGCTCACTGCTGATTAATAAAGCACGTTCATCAGAAATAATTTAAGACAGGAGGACTTTTATTCGTTCCATAGAGGGTAACTTTGGATTTTGCAGCGCACAGAAAAAGAACATATGAAGCACACAAAATATACAATATAATAAGTACACCAGAGGGAGGTGTAGAATTTGTTTGTATTTTTTTCTTTTCTAAATTTGAAAAATATGTAATTTTGATTGAGATTTTTACTTTCCAATCCTAATGGGAAACTTTTTTATTTAAAGGCAAAAAACTGCTCTGTGTGTCATAGCCGCACAGTACGTCATACTATTACAGGACTGAGACAGGATCTTTCAGACAGCAGGGGATGGAGTTACATGTTTGTGCCAGTTCCAGGTAATGGTTCTGAACTCTAGGTTTTTTTTATGAGGAAACTTGTTGTAACATGGTTAAAATGACAAATTTGCATAATATTTCACATAATAAGTCAAATGAAGACTGTGTTTTTCCTTCTCCTTGTGTGATTTCCTGTGGTATGTTTGTCACATGGGAACATTCTCCACGGCCGCTCTGAGGGACAGGGATCTCACTCACCTCATGATGAAATCGGCCTGATCGATGTCCTGGCCGCATTTACTGTGTCGAAGTATTCCTCCATTCCCCACCACAGCACACTTCTTCAGAGGCAGCTGCAGAGGGTTGTCCTGGAGGAAACATGGATGTATGCTTTAGTTTGTAGACATGAATCACATACACAGGAAGACTTTGTACATGACAAACACCAAAACCTATGTGGGGTAGCTGCAAAGAAAGTAAGTATCTATCTAAATAGTTCCTCGGTCTTAACAGAGTTTGGTTCTATTCCATCCATCCATCCATCCATCCATTTTCTACCCTTTTAATCCATTTCTGGGTCAGGGGGGTGACACCAGCCCCTCACTGACCCTCTGCAGGTGGTGAGTCCACAGGAGGACGGTTGCTCTCTGAGTGTGAGCATAGCCTTGATCTTTCAGTGGGGGCTTTGGGCAAAGTGGGGTTAAGTGTCTTGCCCAAGGACACAACGACAGCAGTCATCAGTGGGAGTCGGTGGAGAAGGTGTCAAGGTGGGAATTGAACCCACAACCTTCAGGCCTGAAGGCCAATGCTCTACCAACTGAGCTACTGTCGCCCCTGGTTCTATTCCTAGCTTTCTATGCTTCTGTCACATCTGGGAGATCCCAATTAGTGACTCACTTTCGTTAAAGTATGTCTTTGTTTAGAGCTGAATCCTGATTTTGTCAGTACAAATAAAAACTTTTTTTTTTTCTTATTATTTTTCTTCTGGAATAAACCAAATGTGTTGTTTATGTAACTCACTGTTTTACAGGAGAGGAATATCTCCAATGGACACAAGACTACTGTATATACTTCATCCAGTCTATTGCACCCATGCACCGGTGGGTAAAGACATGCAAATGTAACAACACGGCCAAGAAGCACGAGTAGGAAACAGGCGCTCTCATTATTTGGCTGGGAGAGCAGAGTGCACACCGTCACCGCCGCAGGGTCTCACCCCCCCTCGCACTTTAGAGCCACTGTGACTCACACTGCACACGGCTAAACTCAGACCTGTAGCAAATGTGGCTCAGATAAAGAAGGTTATAGGTTAAGCTACTTCTTACTCTAAAACAAATTGCTTAAATTTAACCATTTTGCATTGTTGTTTAAAGTAGAAATATGTAATATTTTCATGTCAAGTCATCATTAAATGGCCCCAATATTTCAAAAGGCATTATTAAATCATGCTCTTTTCGGATACATCTTTAACTGATAAGATATTTCCGCCGTTTTGCCAATCAGGAAGTCCGTGATCCGGGTTGCCAGAACTCCCCGCGGCTAGCTAATCTAATATAACATGTGGCAGCTGAACTAAAAAAGGTCTTCTTATGACTCTCAAATCATTAATGACAAAACAAAGACTAAAACGAGGATTTATATCGGGACACCTTTGAAAAATCTAGACAATCGAAGGTGGATTAAAACTTTTCGTGTGATGCATAACATGCTACGTTGAGTGCCAGATTGCTCAAAGACGGTAAAAGGTAAACAATTTTAATGCTTTGAAAATATTTGAAAAAATTGGATCGGTATCAGATCGGTATCGGCAAAACAATATTTAAGAATATCGGAATCGGATCGGATCATAAAAAATCTGGATCGGTACATCCCTATTACAGAGGTGTTTACCATCACAGCATTAACCAGGCCCTTCTCCTGCTTAGCTTGTGAAGTCTGACAGAATCAGGCTTTCACATGCAGGTGGCACCACAATAAAACTAACCCTAACATGTTGAGCTTCAACAATGTGCCAATGTACTTTCAGATTGTACTGTGTGCTTATTTGCAAACTCCAACAGTATATTTCAGTGCATCTGATTTGACCAATGTACTGTAGTATATCCTTATGAACTAAATAAAGCAAGTATCATCAGCACCACTAAGTTTTGGGGGGCCAAATAACCAGCTAAACCAATGGGGGGAGCTCACATTATAAAGACACTATTTATATCATTCAAGAATGCATTCACTCTCTCCACATTTTGAATTTCTGACTTTCACATAATATATCATTAACAGAATGTCGTCACGTTTAGCGCTGCTCTCCTGTGCCCCTGTCTGCCCGGGATGAGACCACAGGCAGCTTGGCTTCAGGACACAGCCACACCCCCTGCATGTCTGGGGGACACTGCGGTGATTGTAGGCTGCATACTTCCAGCTGGCAGCAGCAGCACTGGGCATCTGCCTCCAATCTGCCTATTATGGGCTTTGAGGACTCTGGATTGGTGTTTGGGCCAAATTCAGACAGAGCTGCTATAGTTAGACCTCAGTGACTCTGGGTGCAGTCTGGACAAACACAAGAGGAAAGTGTCTGGCTACTTACATCGAGAGCCTTCTGTTGGAGTGTTTCTCTGTCACAATCAAAGGGCTTGTTACAAAAATGGCAAAGTGCATATGACAGGTTGGATTATACTTTAACAAAACAAACGTTGGAAATGATACTTTCTGTTTGTGATGGATAACACTTGGGATTAGGACTCAACGATACACAATGCAGTAAGAGGTCCTGGGTTCAAATCCACCTCATGACAGGGCCTTTCTGTATGGAGTTTGCATGTTCTCCCTGCCTCTGTTTATTTTTTATTTTTGGGGTATTCCAGATTCACATTCCACTAAAATTATGTAGTTCAGGGTGTGTCTGTGAGTATGACTGTGTAACAAGTGACAACGAATGGAAGTCAGCCCAAGGCTACAATCCATGGTATGTACAGTAATAATCAGAAATCCAACGTGTCCCATCCAAATTAGCCTGGTCGTACCACACCATAGTACAAATGACATTTGGAGGTGCTCCATTGAGCTCTGTTTACAGGTGGGCGGGGTTAACTCCTTTTGCAGATTGAAACGATTGGATCTGAGTTTACCATGACGTATGTAGTGCGCCCGAGTCTGTTGTTAGCATTTAGCATTTAGCCATCTCCTTTGCCGCTAACGAAGCCCGTTGGGAGTAGCGCCACATTTTTTTTCAGCGATTACATTTGCTAAACATTCCTCTTGCTCCGGCTTCAGTTTCTTGATCAAACTACAACCTGCCTGTTCGACGCAGACTCTTGACATCACCCACAACTAACTACAACACTTGCCTTCCGAGCTCTCTGATTGGTCGGTCAAAATTCAACAGATTGTAATCGCAAACACAGGGACTAGACCCAGACGTTACATGCAGTGAAATGATGACTGAACGGAGTGTAAGAATGGCTAAGGCCAGGCTTCATCCAAATTAATAAATAAAACAAATGTACTGTATGTAAAATGCACAATAAAACACTGCTTCAGCTGCATTTTTTTTTTACATTGATACCACCAATAATGTTAAAGAAATCTACATTTAAAAGGCTTCAATACATTTTTTCAATATTTTTGTTCATTCCACCGAAATAGATACAATATCTAAATTAAATATTAAATTAACCTTTCTTTTAAGTCAGACTCATTCATTGGGGCCACATAGACTGCAATTGGTTTTGGTGCAATCACAAAAATACATAAGAATTGCACGATGTAAGTGGAGCTAACCCATGATCACAGAAGGAGTGTCCAATAACCTTTTCACACCCACTATTGACAGCATGTACATTATTTAGATGTTTTAATCATTCAGCAGCAGAGGCATCTGAGCAGCACAATAAAGATTAGCAGAAGGTGTCCAGACTTAAAAACACTGCAACAGGTGTATCCACCTCCAAGGTTGTAGACCAGATTTTTACATTTCATTTGATGATTCAAATACCTACAGCTTTCGCAGTTCAATGCAGATCTGAAATGTTCTGACTAATATTGTTTCATTTAAGCATCTATTATATACCCCATATTTTTGTTATTTGAGAGGAAAAAAATCTATGTTGGTCTCCGGGTCTGCTTTGGGTTTTTGAATCATATCCCTAACAAAACTATTCCCAAAACGTGTCTCAAAACTAGCATACACCCCTGTTGGCGCATGCAGAGTAGAGCATGACAAACTTCCTCCCCCACGGGGCTATCCGCGATTAGAACATAAGTTTGAGCAGAAAAGTGTGGTTTGTGAATTATCAACAAAATCTAACATTTGTGAACACACTTCTGGTAAAATGATACTCTATGGGAACATTTCTTGTGTAGCTTAATGAGGCTGCCGTTCCGTGGGTGGCCTTTGAGCAGGTTCTAGAGAGGGGTTTAACCTGGGATCCCCTATCCAGATATTATAGTGGACCCATGATTTCACACTATGTAACTCTAGAACTCCCAGACTTCTCCAATTACTAGAACTCCCAGAGCCGTCATTTTGACTGCTCCCCTTAAAACCAATAGAATTCTTAGAAATGACCCCTAATAATATTAATTATTAATATACTTTTTTTTTTTAACCTAAACTAACGTTTACTAAGTGCTAAAACTGGAAAGCATAACTGAAATACAGAAAATACAGTTTGTTGAAAGGCCTCGAGAGGCTAACTGCTGCCAGTAAATATATCGCTATGGTAACCAGGATTCGTTTTCTCTGGTGGAAAACAAAACTCAGCTCAGGACTCGTCCAGAACCAGCAACGTTAAAAAGGGGCATTAACTGCCAGAAAGAGTCTGAATTTTACATTCAAATGATTGGAGATAAAGGCAGAACTCACATTTAATAATAAAAGTGAATTTCATGAGAATAATATCATAGAACTGAACTACATATAGAAACAGAATATTTCTACATACGCTAAGTAATGACACTTCCAAGCAGATAGACTGCTAAGGCTGAACTGCAAAAGGTGCCATGAAATACCAAATGGGCTAAGTTTATTAAAGATAGTCTTAAAACAATATTTTTTCCAATTAAACCAGTCGATTACTTTTTTTTCTAGTTTCCCTTTTTATTCAAATTCTCACTGAGGAATTGTTTGTCTGGCATATTTTGCTTTAAAACCTTATTTTAAGACGAATATGCAGTGGGGCAAAAAAATAATTTAGTCAGCCACCAATTGTGCAAGTTCACCCACTTAAAATAATGACAGAGGTGTGTAACTTTCATCATATGTACACTTCAACTGTGAGAGACAGAATGTAAAAAGAAAATCCAGGAATTCACATTGTAGGATTTTTAAAAAATGTATTTGTAAATTATGGTGGAAAATAAGTATTTGGTC